GCGCGTATCTAGCGTTCATTTTCTCGACTCATCTTCCAAGGAGGAGTTCTGTGGCACTTATAAACTTTTACCTTTTCAACTATATTTTCCTGCTTCTTTTTACACTATTTGTAGTACTATTCGTTTTAATTGTCTGGACCCATGCACACTTCCTTAAATTTCATTTCGCGTTATTGATCCGGTTTACTGCGCGTGCTTTCATCGCAATTATTCGGCGCTGCTTCGTGGCATCGGTGAGTCGGAATTATCACGAAACTCGGATTGATCGTTTCTAGGGGAAATGAACAAACCTCTTAGTTGTCAGTAAGATTTTGGATATTCCGTTTGTTGACTAAAACAATGCTTTCTGCCAAGTCTCCATGAACTCACATACATCGGCATCGCTGGATCTCTGATTTCGTGGGCAACCGCATCATTCAGATGAAACGTTTTACATCTCTTCATTACCACTAGCGTCACACAGGATTCTCTTCTTGGACTCGAACTTTTCAACATCTTCATTAACGACCTGCCATCCGAGCTCCAGATGAACTCCTTAATCTACACGAATGACCCGCAGTTATGGATGGAGGTGTTCAATCTAAAAATTGTCAATAGTATACAACCGACGCGTGATCTACTACTGGTTGATCAAGTGGCAGTTGCCTATAAATTGCGATAAATACTGTTCTCCCAATTGATGTACGTGTCCAAATCGGGGTTTACGTTATTGATGGGTTCTTGCTCAGTAATGCCACTGAAGAGAGATCTTGGCATACTTGTCTTTTGACCCAGCATCAACTCAGGAAAACGTGTAGGGAGTCACCGGTGCCTGCAGGATGTCCCATGCTATACGAAGAGCCTTCTCTCACCTGACTCAGGAGCTCTTCAGACTACCGTTTATCTCACGCATGCACCCACTTCTCGAATACGGACAAATTACCGCCGATTCTCAAACGCAAGAGTGGTCACAACTTGACCACATCACAATGAACTACAGCTAACGCGGAAGTGTAACAGACTGCCGTTCGTACCGGTCAACTTGTCTGGTTCGCGTTCCGGAGGATTGACTAGGCATACGCACTACCGACCGAACGAAGAAAATCTACAAGACCCTATGACCTTAGCGAAATACCAGACTTCTCTATCAACACTGATCCGCGTAGGGGTGGACATCCTCGCGGTATACTCAGCCCGCGTGCGACTGGCGGTGGTCACACGGCAGCGAAGCGCCGTCACGACGTATAGCTGACACATCCTTTTATTTTCATCAACACCGTCTACCTCAACTCCTGACGACGATCTGAATGTATAATGGATACGCATCAGAGATGCTTTAGTTTCTGCCAGCATTGATAGTTGTGGGGTTGCCTGTCACCCACCGTATCAGGATGAGTAAAATCTGCCAGGATAACCCACTAACTCGATGGGAAAACAAGTTGAACCAGTGGTGTACAACCGAAACACCGTGGTTTCAGGAACGTACACGTGCATATGACGTGCGCACCAACCTTTCCATTGGCTAGCAGAACTGATATACCAATCAGGACAGCTAGTCTAGTTCTTCTGGTACTTGAACCATCCTTGGTTGATGTTCCGATGTTGCTCCTCCAAACACTGACACCCCATCCTTGGTTGACTTATAAATGTCCGTCGATTTCACACTAGTTTCCGTGTCGGCATCTGGTTCTGTAACACGCTTTAGCCTCCAGGCGTTGACTTCTGATTTCCGGCTAGGATTCAGACCTAACAGAGATTGAGACTAGTTCCACCGGAATCGCAGGCAGAGGTAGATCATAATACGCCGAAAACCTAGATCACCACTGTCTCCTTTTACCTGATGGACAGACGCCGCTTGGTCCTGGCCGATGTCAAACGTAGTGAAGAACGCCGATCCCTAGATCAAGAATTACACAGGTTTTACAAAAGGACCGTGAAACATTGTGGTGTGGACGTGCTAAAAAGATGGAACTTGTTAGTCTCTCTGACAATACCAGAAAACTTTTTCATCTTATCCGAATCATCGAAAGTTTTCGATTTGGTGTATTATTCATTGGAGTGGTAGTGAGCAGAAAAGAGATCCTGTGTCAGCTACACCACCTGTTCAGAGCGCGAATCCTTGCGATACGTCGTTCCGTAGGAAACCATCACGATCGCAGCGGAAACAACACGATCATTGCTTACTCAAGAGATATGAATCCAACAGCCGTCTGAAAATTTAACGAAACAATCTGCGAAGAGGAAGGCCCACTAGTCACTAATCTTCAACGACGGTTGGGACAAAGGACTGAGCATTTTGGCTCGCAGTTTTGCTGGCCGCCGGTTCCATCTGCTTTCCTTGGAGCGCTGACCGGTGCTGAGTGGTCTATCACCGCAGATCCTCTCTCACCGGAATATTTTGCGGAAACTCGGCCTACTGAAGGGTCATAACGCACTCGACTCTGATGGTTTACCTCCTATCCTATTTGAAGATGGTGGCTATTCACTGATTCGAGAACACACAGCTTTGTTTTCAGAAGTCTGGTTAGAAGAGAAACTCCCATCGTCTTGAGCTGAGTCGATCGTCGTCCCTATTTTCAAAAAGTGCCTGCGCACAATATGCTGCAAATACAGGGGTATGCGTAAGATTCCTGTCATCTACACACTTCTTGTATCCATCATACTTCGAAAGCTATCCCTTACTTGCAAATCACTACAGCAGAAAGAGCGGGCCGGATTCCGCCCTAGTCGCGGCTGCATCGACTAAATTTTTACACTCTGCCAAATCCTCGAGCTCCGCGATGTATACCAAAAGTCAACGATTGTTGTGTTCCTGGATATCCGCGCTTCTTTCGATTCTGTCGAGAGGACTGCATTGTGGCACTGTCTGTTGAGGAATGGCGTCCCCGGGCAATTCGTTTCCGTACTGCTTGCCATGTACAATCTGAATTCGGGTAAAGTTAGGGCTTATGACAAATATTCACCTTCCTTTACTGTTACCAGTGGAAGTCGACAAGGATGCCATATCTTCCAATTCCTTTTCAACTTTGACATTGAGGATTTTTCTTTTATGATGCTCTGAAAGTTTCGTTGAGCGTTGGAGTCGAGCTCCTCCCAGGTCGTCGATTTTTGGATTTGGACTACGCTGATAAAACCATCTTGCTAGTTGACGGTCCACAGACCGTTCGACTTGCACTTAACCACTTAGTCATTGAAGAGCAAAAATGCCGGATGTACTTTCCCTTATCCAAGTGCAAGGCTTTTTTCAAGACTGGTAGACGCCTGTGGATGCACTCACTCTTGGTGGTGGGACACCGGAGGTTGTGTTTTGTCTATGTCGGAAGCTACATCACTGCCAGTGGAGCTGTTGGAGACGAGATTTCATTGCGTATCTCAAGAGCTCATCTTGCTTGTGACGTCGCCATGACATCCGGCTACCCATCGAACGGTGGGTTTATTGTGTGAATCCGCGCTGTACTGTTGTACGGTTGCGGAACGGGCTGTTCGTACTGTCGGCTGTCTGTCTTCGAGCGCTGTTTCTTGCGGTCCACTGCCGGTGTGTGTTGGCTGCGCCAGGTAACCAATTTGGAAGTTAGACAGCTTGTCTTGGGTGGAGGCAGCCACTCGCACGAGAAGCGACTTGCACACGTATTGCGCATGTGCGTTCATCGTCTTCCGCGTCAGGCGTTGTTCGCAGTTGCTAGAGGAGATGGCGCGGTGGACAACCCATTACTAGGAGAAGCGGTATGAAAAGCTGACGAAACAGTTGGCTTCGGTCGGTTGTTCTCGGCTCCCTAGTTAGAGTCCCAGAGAGACAGTGTCGTTAGCTGCATACTCTGAAAGTGATGGCTCAAAACCGACGTCAGTAGTTGACATTTATCTCTGCGTGTTGCGGTGATTTCCTTTCCCTAATAAAACAAACAATTGAAAGAAAAACAGTAAATTAAAAACTGAACAAAATAGGTGCATGCGTTTCTTTTATTCCTACCCTGTTTTATTATTCCGCCATGATTCTGATAACGCAATATCTGCACACCATCTGTATCCGGCACGATGTCTGTACCACACACACACGCATGGATAAATATATATATATATATATATATATATATATATATATATATATATATATATCCCAGATGTGAAATGTTTTAGAAAGCCCAGCCGCGTGAATCGAAGTCCGCTTTCAGCGACTGAGTCTGTTCCAACTGGATTATCGTCGTCACCACGGAGATTTGATTTTGACCCTACGTTTTCTAAAAGGAGAGCTAGGTAGCAAGTTACATTGGTTCTTTTAAATCTTTGGTATTCAACACGTGGTTACCGCTGGAAACTGTTGAAACTCAGGAGGCTCCGAGTGCGATCTAATCTTGCTCGCGTGATAAATGGCTATAAATGCTTACCGGAGCATCGGTTAGTGCCCAAAAGCGTAAAGCGCCTGCTTTAGTATCCAGTTCGAATGTGCGTGGGTGCAGGCGATTTCGCAGTATCCTCGGCCCACACGCCACTAGTAGTGGTCACGTGGCAGCTACGCGTCGGTACGCTGTGCCGGTCTGCCGCAGATACATTTTTGCACGACTTGTGATGGTCGCGCGGCAGTTAAGCATCGGTGCAGTGCACCGGAGCCCGTCCTCAATATGCAGGCAGAGGAACATTTCAGATACTTTGGACTCCTGTTTTTTTCATTATACCAGGATTTTGTTGCTTCCAATGCAGCTGTAACGGTCCTTTGCGGAACTCCGGTTCTCAATGACTCGAGCCATCTCTACAATGATCGGGAATTGATTGTGACGAAGAATCTCCCTTATGCTCTCTACCATTCTGTGAACTACTTCGTTCACGGTTCTGTTAGATTAGCCATACCCCGTGCTTATTTTCCAAATCCATTCAGGTCAGACTCGATCCCGCTCTGCACCTATAGAAACGGCAACCAGCTGTCTACGAGGTGTTAACCAGACGCATGTCGAATCCAGTTTGGGCTCTTAATAAATGTTTATGATACTTTCATCCAATCACTTATGTGGTATTTATTTTGCGTTTCAGCCCTCAAGTCCACTACGATTTTACATATTGGACACGGAGGCCCTCGGAATCCTCGACAGGACGCATATTGCACTTTTCATCCATGGTTAGTCTTAGTTTCATTTTAACCCACCTGTATCAGAGCATACTATCATACAACGGCTCAGCTGTCATTGGAATGGCTGGAGAGGGTTGTGTGGCAATAGCGTCCGATCTACGGTTCGGCGTTAACTTGCAGACGATCTCCACTGATTTTACGAAGGTTCATCAGTTGTGCCCTCGAATCTTTGTGGGACTTCCTGGCTTGATGACAGACAACCAGACAGTGTACGCCATTAGCCATACATGCTCTTTATTTACTTATAAGATTTCAGCGACTGCAGTTCAGAAAAAACGTTTATGAGCTAAGGGAAAACAAATCCATCCGGCCGAAAACAGTGACGACAATGCTGTCCAATCTTCTTTACGAACGAAGGTAAACTAAAATCGCATTTACCCACTTTCAGATTTGGTCCTTACTTCGTCGAGCCAGTAGTTGTTGGACTTGACCATGCTTCGGGGAAACCTCATGTCGCTTGCATGGACCTCATTGGTTGTATCTCTGAGGCAGACGACTTCGTCGTTGGTGGTACATGCACTGAACAGTTGTATGGAATGTGCGAAACACTTTGGGAAGACAAAATGGTAACCTGATTCTTTTATTTTCGTCAATTTTGTTGTTGACTGACTGCACCAATGTACATGATGGACTTGAAAAACCACTGCGTTTACTGATCAAGCAATGAAAGTCTCTCAGTAGGGTTGCTTGCGTGACTGACCCACCTAGCCGCCAGGTTGTAGCAGCACGAAATCCAGAGGCAAATGTCACTGCACTTTTACTCGCCTAGCAATCACTCTGACAAAGTTCTTCACTGGTATCTTAGCTATAGCTGAAAGTGATTCAAATACCGGGTTCCGAGACTTCGTTGATTTTTGATTTCCACATACTGTCGTTAATGGACAACGCAGATTACACCTTATCCGCTCGAACCACTGAAACTTGGTTATTCTGGTTTCGTTCGTTGCAGCCCAAGAGCAGCATGTTCAACTGGTGATAACCAGCCCAAATTTAGTCGAAGCTTTTCTTACTTACTTTCGCCATGGTAGCGAGTTCAATTTATCTAGGCATCCATGTTAGAGTAGGTCTCTTAACCCCATTGGAGAACCCAAGTTTTGGGCTTCCACCTTTTATCGTGATCTTGTGAAGGCCGTTTCTGCGTGCATTTCGTCCACATATCTGACGAGTGCCGTATTGACAAACTGACATGGACACATCAGGCGATTGTAAACGACATGAAACCTACCTATCCTGGCCATCGCAATGAGGCTAGACCTTACCGTGGTGCGATGGTTTGTGTGCCTCAGCCATCCATTAAGCTATACTGGGTGGTGCTTCCTTTTTTGCACCTTCAGAGCCACTCATACTAGATTGGTCAATGGTTAGAGGCCAGACAAACTCAGCCTCCTGGTCCTCCAGGTTGGGGCTTGGAATGACGGTGGCTTCTTATTCCTTAAAACAGACTCCTTGTAGCCCAAAGCCAAACCCGTTGCCTTACGGACAGGTTTTTGAACCAAAGGCTTTGGTTGAGAACCCTAATCGTTCTCCTGTCTAGGCCTGGGCAACCTGACAGTATCCTGCCCACGCAGTACAATGAATTTCTCTTCAAACAGTTTCTTGATGCTCTGGCCACCGCAGAGGATAATCAACGGTGCCCTATCTGCTGCATCGAGCAGGGTGGATAGGGGTTTGGATGCTACTGCTCAAGTCTTCCCATCTTCTTGTTCCCCCTCTTACGCCTTTTTCTCTCTTACCGTCCCGTTTCATCTTCACTTTTATCCCCCTGTTTTCAACCCCCCAATTCTTGGCCCTCCCCCACCTTGTTTTGCTAGGCTTTTACCTTCTACTTTTAAACTCACCTGTGAACGCGGAGCGTCATTCCTGTCCTGTCGACAAGCCCATGTCCAACCAAACGGCCAAGCCCAGTTCATCGACTTCCATTTGAAGCCCTCGATCATCCTTCAGATTGGCATGCCTCAATGTACGCACATTGCTACAGATCGGTCAACAGGCAGCACTTGCCCGAACATTAGAGACCCTCTCGATCGATATCTGCTGCTTATCGGAGACTCGCCTGCAAGACTCGACTTCTGTGTTCGCTTTGCGATCCCCTTCAGGTGACACCAGCAGCACTTTCTCGTTGCGCTTATTCGGTGACGATGCAGCTTCGAGCACCGACCAAGCCGGTGTTGGTATTACCCTGAGTCCCCGGACTGAAGCTGCTCTAGTTGGCTGAATTCCAATCAGTAGCCGGTTGTGTGCGGTCCGTTTGGCTGGCTCGTTCAAAGCTTCGAAGTCGCGCGGGACTAACAGTTGTCTGTTCGTCATCGTTGTCTATGCACCCTCAAATTCTAGCGATGCTTCGGTAAAAGACGACTTCTATCACCAATTGAACGAGCTCCTTCGCCACAGAAGAAACTCGGACACTGTTGTGCTGGCTGGGAATCTGAACGCTCAAGTTGGAAAGTTTTTTGAGTGGGTGGCATATACAAGTTGACTGTTCTCAGTTGTGCTAGTGAATATATCCGGATATGTAGGCAGTCAACCATTTCATTCTCGGTTGGCATCCAATCAACTGCAGTAGTTTGCTTAGTTTATTCGCACAAACAGCATGTTTGCAAAGTTGCTCATCATTCAACAGCAACCGCATCGGTCTGTGCTGTATTTTTATCAACGTTGGTGTCGCAACTAGACTTGTACTTAATGTGGTGTGGAGGTAAAAAGTATCACCAGTACGGACGTTTCGCTGCCACGCGATCACAAGTGGTCGTAAGCGGACTTGGGATAATGCAAGATCTCCCATACTTACGCAGGCCTAAACCCAAGTGGCCTGTGCGTTGCTAGCCAGACGTCTGAGCCACTTGACCACCAGCCGGTCTAATGTTAAATGAAACTTTTGTTTGATCACCGATGCTTACGAAACATTGCTCACATCTGGTGGAAACACAGAGTGAGCGATGCTGAAATGTTTGGTGAATATTAACTGCTTACGTTGGTTAGGTCATGTCCTGCGTATGCCCGTCGAGCGACTTTCTCTGTGTGAATTGTACGCCATGGCTGCACCGTTAGGCGAGATTGTGAGGTATCCGATCGATGATGTGGCGTAAACGCATGAAGAAATTGACAGGTTGGATCAAGCTGGTGCATACCGTTTTCGTAGATGGGGCCCACTGCATAGCCCACACTAGTGGTTGATGATTCTATCCGACATGGCTCAGTCAGTAGCGTCCTTGCATTCGGTTGTTTACATGTAGTCGTTAATTTTCCACCCCGATTAGTTTTGCGCCGCTCTGTTCTGAGTCCATGTTCTTTGCATTCTATTTGCGTCCAACCCCACTATCTTGCTGTTGTTATTTACTTTAGTTCTGGTGACATGACGTAGCAAGAATGGCGCGACAATGAGGCACAATCTTTATTGGCGCGACCACAAGCTACCTTATCACTAATGTAGGCGTGCATTAATGAGTCACGTTTCCTCTCCACGACGCACCATCTCTCCTTCGTTCTGCTGGCGACACGTCCATGCACTTTGGGAACCTCGCGGTGGAATATTCCCTGCTCATTTCACCCCCGTATTTCCGCTTTTACGCCTCCCATTCTGCTCTGCCCGGAGTTGTTCGATAGCTCGTGACTTGCTTGACCGTGGATGCACCACTCTGCTTGGGGTTGGTCCGGTAGGATGCATTAACGGCGCTTTTATCTGATTTATCACGTTCTCGACGAATACCCTCTCTAAAATGTTTCGGAACACTGGTAGCTCAGGTTGATGATTCAGTGGCTCATTCGTTTGCGAGCGAATAGAACGAGTCATAGTAGACACTTTTGCACGGCATGCGTAGGACATGACCTAACCACCTCAGTCGGCGCAGAGGTATTAGTTTATCGAGAGGGAGGTCCATATTACCTGAGACGCGACGTCTGATATTGTCGTTGCAAACGTTGTGTTCCCAACACACACGAGCTATTCTCCGTAGACGACGGTCGTCAAAGGTCGAAGTCCGACACAAGTCATTTACACGGATCGGATAGTACTTAATTCCGTACAACAGTACCGCGCGAGCACAGGGATTGCAGACACTGTCCTTTACCGAGAGTGAAGAAATAAAGGCATTAGCAGTACGCCGGTACGCAGTACTGACACTTTGCTGCCGCGCAACCATCAGTCGCAGGTGGGCGAAGGATTTTGCGAGGGTTGCACAGTTCCTACGCGGGCTCGAACCCACGCCATCGGATTGCAAGGCAGGCTTGTGAACCTCAAGACCACGGGCCGGCTACTGAGTGTGAAATCACGACGCTATAGATGCTTTAGATTAGCGAAATCAGATCGAGCTTTGGAGTCTCCAGATGATCGGATCTTGGCGAATCGGAGAGAAATCTCTATTCCAATGGTGCCATCAGCATAAACGCAGCTTCTAAGCTAGTCAAAGCTATCCACTTGTTCAGGCTGCATCCCTTCGAGAATCGGCACCGGAGCAGGTGGCTGACAATCCTGGAGTAGGACTTCGTATTTTGAAGGGGCGAAGATCACGCCACACATGATACTTTCAATCATCAAGCAGTTTAGAATGACCTGTATAATCAGTCGATCGTGACCGAGCAAGGCAGTATCATCAGCATAGTCCAAGTCAGTCGCGCGGTTGCCTAGAAGAATCTCTATGCCCAAACCCTGGAGACCTTCGAAAGAACTTAAAAGGGCATCTTCAGCCACAAAATTGAAGAGAAACAGGGATATGGGGCATCCCTGTTGCACATCGCTAGTGATGGCGAAAGCTGAAGAGAGCTTATCGTAAGCCATCACTCTGCCAGAGACATTGTTGTATAAAACTTGAAGGATGGCGTTATACTTTTCGGATATCCTATTCTTTTGCAGACGACAGAGCATGCCGATCGACCGAGTCAAACACAGCTCGAATATCCAAGAAGTCGACACTGGTAGGCTGGCGATAAAGGTGATGACCCTCTTTACTTTAAACCCAATTGTGGGAAGTAAGCCTACGGAACATTAGCCGAGCTTGATTGGCTTCCCGCTTGACCGCTACAGATTGTCCCTGAATGTGTGCCAAATTTACATAATTCGCGTCTTCAGTGCCTCCGAGTCTGAGTCGTGACAATTACGGTACTAGAATAGTTCCCAGCAAACTTGCGGATGCTACTCTTGTGCACTGGATCCCAACGAACCACTTCTCGCACACGACTGGACTACGATGTTCCATTTGAACTATTAAGCAGTAGCTTAAGTGTTCAGGACGGATTTCAGCCGTCAGGATGATTCCTTACAAATGGCGACGGAAAAAAACTGGTAATGCAGCGAGTGTCTGCGAAACAATTCCAACAAGCACAAATGGCGGCAGAAATGAAGCTGGTCGAAACTTTGACGCAGCGTCTCAGCCTGCAGTCTCCAGAAGCAGCTTCGATGAGGGGTTCAGACGCTAGGAAGATATGTCCAGGACGGATTACAACTGATAGGATGACTTCTAACACGAAGGACAAACTCCTTTTTGTCGTTTCTGTATGCATCCCAACCGACTACACTATGAAGACTGTCGAGATGTATTCCGCAACCATCTCTTATTCCTACGTTGAATGG